TCAGCGGATTACACACTTCGAGCGACCAAGGGACGAAGGGAAGCATCATCCGTCCGGTGGCAAACGACTCCGCCTACACCGCCTGGGGACACATCTCAACTCAGTACTAGATTCCGGCTCGGGTTGAAATTCACGAGACACGGGGAAGCACTGAACACTCTTTTCGCATCTGTGAAGGTCCTTCTTTGATCAAGACCCTAAGCTCAGTACTTCCCCTTGTGCAACCGTTCGTACAAATGTGCACAGCTGTTGGGACATTGGGCAAGAAGAGTAGATAAGGTGATAACGTCCCCCAAGTTGATCGTAGTTTATAATCATTGTTGAGTTTGGGTGCGACAAAATGGGTTTGACTTGTCTTCTAATACATGTAATCCATTTCTATCAAGGCAATAACTCAGGGAACCAACGAAATTCGAGAAAAAGGCGCTTTTGGACTTCTTTAGTTTCACGGCAGTCAGTTGTTAGCGTTCGAGCACTGTGGACGGCGTTTCTCAATGTTCAGCATCTGGGTGTCCTGTAAGTAGGATGTCATCAAGAAAGGCGCAAGTAAAGGGAATATCTTAGATCAAGTCAGCAATGCCCATTTGAAATCTCGTCAGGGTCGGATACAATGCGAAAAGCAGACTTTTGTATTGGTATGGGCCCAATTGGGTACTTCACATAAGGCCTAAGCAGAATGTCCCGTCTACCTCGACTTGTAAATATAGATAATTAAGCTTGATCTGCGACAATGTTTGTCCGCCTATTGGCGTAGCATGCAGATCTTCTAGCCGAAGTAAGAGGTACTTATCTAGAACTAAACAGCGGTTAACTTTTACGGAGGAGTAGTAAGAGAAGTTGGATGGTATAACTTTTAGTTTACATTCGCCCAACATACTTACAGAGCCAACCGACTTCAGTACGGGAACTACTGGCTCTCCCCACTCCCCATATTCAATTGGCTCGAATGTTCTTGCTGAGTACCATGCCTTTATCTTCACTTCCACTTCTGACTTCAGTGAATAACATAGGGTACATGCCCAAAAGAAGTGACCTGAGTTCCATGCAGTAAGTTGGTGTTAGCCCGATATCCGTTTAGTCTTCCCATTTATGTAGTCAAAAAGGTTGGAATATCTGTTTTGTATATCCTTTAAGCTCTGGTTAAGGAACATAAACCGTGCTGTCTCTAGCTTATTCGGAGGGCGTTTAATCCAGCCTCACCAGAGCACGTTTGGCTAATCATTCGCCTCGAAGTAAGTCTGCCAAGTACGTTTTCACCCTTGATGATTAAAGTGCACACTGCACCAGCCCAAGACTGGTGTCTTGGTTGCTCAGTTCATAGTTTCAAAGTTGACTGACGAAACGTTAAATGGGGTTGTCTTTCAACAGATGCGCACTGATTACGGCAGCTGAGACACCGGCATCAACTTCCATCTTAACCAACTGACCTTATATTTCCAGCTGCACACGATAAGGTGGATGACGGCCACAGATGCTTGACATTGAGTTCCACACTGTGTTAAGCTGGCCGTCATTAACGCACTCGAGGATCCAGTGTGAGCACAGCTACTCGCATAAGTGGCCGAGATTGCACTTACATTCCTTATTGTGTTGGTTCTTCTTTTCGGCATTCTTGGCCACTGTAAAGTAGCAAGCCTTCATTACAACTGACACAAGCTGTGCCTGCAGGCTTGTTTTATCCATCGGGCTACCGGCCATACTTAACGTTTTAGCAACAGTACTAAATTACAACGCTCTTTCACTTACCGGCTAAACTTTGGGGTATTCCTTCTGAGAAACCGTTACCCATTACCTGGACCGGATGGGAGCATACCTTTTTGGAATGCTTAGATTTATCGTTCATCTTTGAAAGCTGACCTGACCTGACAGTTTCCGGGGGATGACGGCCAAAGTCATTTCTGTGCGCTCTATATTATCGAGAAGCTGATAGTTAACGTCGTGACATAAATCTTCAGCAATTTATGGAGTCCACATCTGAACACATACACTGCGCGGTATTCTTTCTCAGCTGTATCAAAACCCTAAATAAATCGTCAATGACTTTATTGCGTGGATTTAACAATCCTTGTCAGCTTTGGTTTAGTGAAATCCCAGCTGCGAAGTTCGAAGAAGCAACAGTACTATAGCTTCTGATATTCGGAATTGTAATGAAATGGGTAGGAAGAGGCCGTTTTTGTAAGATGAGACGACGAAGACCTGTAACATGACACGACATTTAGAAAATGCTCACAAAAGTTCGTAACATTTTCCAAACAAACTAATCGATCATACCTAACAGCGTCTAAATTAGACATCGACCCAAAACCAACGGAGCGAATCCGGGGAATTGCACCATTGGGAGTCATTTCTCGACCCTGACAACTCTGGCTAACTGAGTTGCCAAGAAGAGTCCTGTTTTTTCCAAGTACATTAAGCATATGTCTGCTAAAACACAGTGCGATATTGGAGAGAAGCAAGAAGTTGTGACTTCCTTTATTGGTGAGTAGCACCCACCGTGTCGCCATGTAGCTGATATCTAGTACAACTGTGTTATGTGGGAAAAACTTTTTATCAACTGATAAATTAATGGAGCAAGATAGAACCTAGTGTACCTGAAGTGAGCAGATAATCTCCTAGTAACCGGTGAGACCAAATTGTGCCTAGTGGACGTAACATTTTGTTTCTTTTCAAAAATTCATGAGACCAGACAAGAGTTATTAGGCACCAAATATGTTATCATGTTGCTATACAGATGGAGGACCGATCGATCATAATCAATCGGCTTGCTATAGATGAATGCAAGGAATGGACAGATATGATTACACTCAATAAGAGGGCTGTCCGATTGCGGATCCACTTCTATAGAACCCAGCGAACGTGTCACTTGACGAGAATGCTACGAAATCTAAGATAACGACAGCGACATGCCTGTCATCCTACTGCATTATTGGCTATCGATTGGGAAGATAAGACCCAGCTTTCACGCAGCCATTTTGATACGTATTTGGAAGTACAGGTGCTGCATGTTCAACTGGGAAGCCCCAACAAATGAGAGATAACTTGCTCACACACGTGGGCTTACAAAGGGCAAGCAAATTAGAATGCTGTCCGGTTACCGGACCACCTATTAGCACGACGCTGTCTATGAGGTGGCGTTCTGTATTGACTGCGTAAGATAATATAGAAAAATCGTCTCCACACCGATAACGGTTAGTATGACCTGATAATGGTAACTTGAGAACATTAATATCGGCTCGCCTTCAGTATCTGTGCTCGGAACTTACCTGGTTGGCTTTTAACAAATTTGTTCTTCTACCTGAACGGTGGGAGCTAGAACTCGTAACCCCCCCACTTTCGAGCTAGGGGTTACTCCCATAGGGAACGGACTTCTAACCAAGCAACTAGGTGGCTATAACTCTATGATCATCATTCTCGGCCAAACATGTTTCCAACCTACATTTAGTTAGTTGGTTAGTTACGACAGGCGCGACTTCCATTATCCAACCACCATCATGCATTCACCTTGTATGCTAGCTTGTGTATTGCTGATTTGTTTCAAGCGTTTACTAAAGAGACCTGGACTAATTTTAAAGAGGATTCATCCCGTTGGCCAAACGACCTTCACCAATGACTAGGACGTGAAGGGTCGTGAGCTGCAGTCCCTCACTGAGTACATGGAACTGGTACCATTGGTTAATTTCTAATGGACGAAACAGCCATCTAACACTTTTCCTGGTGGGTGATGATTGTCTGGTGGAGTGTAGCTGTGATGACTCTTCCTCAAACTTAAACCAAATCCGTCCTGTCCATACTCTCTAAAAATTCTGTTATGCAACCGTTTCCCTTCAAAAATGTTAACAGAGCGAGAACAACGAACATTTCTGCGGAATATTCTGAACTCAGTATATGCCGTGTATTTTCTTCAGCCGCTTACATACAATGGGTGAAAATTTCAAGCGATTGGGAGTAATGGGTCAATATCAGAAATCAATATTTAGTTGCGTTGGTTGGTCTGCCTTGCCTCACCAAGGCAAAGCAAGATTGGGCACAAACTCAAGTTGTTTACATAGGTTAGGCTTCAAACACCGGATGGAGTAAGCCTCAGCAAAACGCAACAACTTGAGGTTGCTGTGTCTGTTGATCATCTTGAATGCTTCGTGGGGATTCTGGCACATAGATCAGACGATTAAGTGTCGTGCAACGGAGCTCGTAGGTAATGTTGCGCCACGGAGAGCAAGGTTCCGCGGGACGTGTTCTGAAATCCGAGTGGACAACCTCCTCTCTCTCCGGACAATGTACATGCTACCGCAAGTACAGTTAAACTAGTAAACACATGAGGCGGTGACAGTATGAATATAAGCGGCTGAAGAGAATACACGAAATAAACTGCACTCAGAATATTCCGCAGAAATGTTCATTGTTCTTTTTCTGTTAAAATGTTGTTATTTTCTTATCCAAAATCCCAGTGAATAATGCTATGAAAAAGTGGCCCCCTGGGCAGTGCGATACAATGCAATTCTGAGGTGCGAAGGGGGAGTAATAAAACGGAAATGTTCTGTGAAGGAGCGGATGGCACATCAAACGATGCATGCGGTTTAACAGGCTAAATAGAGGTTGGTTCAGTCGGAAACATAAGGGATACGTCTGTTTCGTATCGATCACTTAGGTGCGTATAACATTAGTGTGCCGGTTTGCTAATAGTAAAAAGCATATGCTCAGTTACAATTATTTGGATTTATCACTGCCCTCAGAGGGGAAATGGCCGCTACCTCTGCTGTTAATCTACGGAGTGTTTACTTATTCTGCGTCTAGTTTGTTTACAGTCGTACATCTGTTTCGATTTAGTATAAAATTCCTTGGCTCGGTCTCATTCGGCAAGCGTGCGCAAAGTAGTGTTGCGCCTTGTCATTCATACCTTAATTGCGATGGGTTTGCTCGTGCGTCCCTTATACTTTTATAGTACGACAATGCAATCTTTGTGACTTTGTTGAACCGGTTAGCCGCGGTCATTTTCCTTGTAGATATACGGCTTTCCGTGATAGAAATGGAGAATATACCATGTTTTTCTGGCGCCTCCTCGCACTCCGTTTGTTGTTCGTAATCTTATTTGAGGTAAGTCACCCTCATCTTTGGCACAAGCTATGCTTAAAGTCTAACCCAAACAGACATGAAGTATTAGCACCACGGTAACCACACCATGTGCCTTTCATCGATTGACGCAACTCGTTCTTTGCTCATTATTACCTCTAGCTTTGATTTAAGGACTGGTCCGACGGTTGGAAATCTTGATCATAACTTCTTATTAGCTCGGTTTACGGAAGTATGCGCGTCTCAGCAATCCACAAATCTTAGCAGTGTTGATCGGCTTATTTCATAGCGCAGAGGGCACCTTGCTGAGTTCGTCTTGGCCGACCTATGTGGAACTATGGTATATGCTCTTGATTCTTCAAGACTGTCGCACCTGACGTAAGAACAGCAGATGACATTGAATGAGGAACAAGTAAGAGTAAAATATTTCATTCCATAGTTTCGACTTCCTTTATCAGTGTTTACACGCCTTGCTCAGAGCTCGTCCCGTGTAATCGTTTACCCGGACTGGTGACCCCTGTGTAAATCCCCGAACCAACCTTATTCCCATGCAAATAATGCCGGGTAGATTGTTAAGCCCATCATCAAAAAGAGGTTCAGTAACACCCTAACACGGAAGTTTTGTAATATGAAGACTATTTCGATCGAAGATTCCCGTTACGAGGATGTATGGTGTCATCAAATAAGTTAAGTGTGAACACCTCAACAGGTAAAAGTGCCAACAGAACCTATACCAAAGGAGACCATTTCAATTTGTGCGCAGATGTATCACCTTTGATGGATATTAGCTACTCAACGCATCTGTCTAATGTCTAGCTGCTTTTGACAGCGAGGAAATGCGGTATCGTGTGTTGCACGGAACGAGGGAAATGTTTATTATTTAACGATGCACTTATAAAAAAAAATTCTGTAGATCATTTTAGGACATTTTAACAACCTTTGTATGTTTGTTTTCATCCTATTTACCATAATCAGTAAGATAATGCCTCTTCTAACAGTAAAGGATTCAGAAATCGCCATGGAAATAAGTAGATAATTAACATTCATGTAGGGCGGATGTAATCTGATTCCCATGGTCATCGGAGTGGGCGGGTAGCCGTCTAGCTCTATTTCTTCACTGTGGTAGAAACCAACACTTTAAACCCTACGCGTGTTCACTGATTGCCGTAGTGACGAAAAATGTAACTAGCGCTCGTGTCTTCTTTTTCGTTGTCGCTAACTCCCGAAATTAAAATCTGGTAGGTTGAAACTGTATAAGACATGGTACCGATAAAATACCGCGGCTTCATATTCGTCCGGAGAATCCGTTGGGAATTAAGAATACAAAGTGAACAGTTAACTGCGAATTCAGCTCTCCACATTAATGCGACTGAATCGTTCAACTGTTTGATGCCATTAGCAAGTTGATCAAAGCAGAAAAAAGACAGATGGCGATACATCAACATTTCGATTGTTCACCTCAGTCGCATATACGATACAAGCAGAAACACATGCACAGTTATATACATGAGAAAAAATTGACACACCAATCAAAACGTCAAAATCAAGTCCAAGGCAATCTGATTGCTTGCCTCAAGAGTTTCTGTGCACATAGTACTGGTTGATGGGCCCTAAGTAACAACGCTTCACTGATAGCCAACATTATCCGGTTCCGATTACGTAATAGCACTTTGAACGCAGTCTTGGGGTCCACATTGTGACCAGTTGTCATGAGTTGCTTCGTGATAGATGGTGACGGAATCCGCTTCCTTCTGGGAGGCGCTCCATTTTGTTGCGTCATCATTTGCTCCACCCACTTTGGCAAGTGTTCATCCACCCTCTGAGTCCACCGACGGTTAGTCCTGCCTAGATAAACGTCTCTGCAACTGCAGGTGAACTGATGAACTACATGAGATGGTGAACTAGCCGAAGAGTAGCTCTGACGGTCATGAAGAACAAGGTTCCGAGTCGTAGGACCTTGGTGTCAAACGGTTATCCTGAAAGTTCATCCAAGTGCACAGCAGACTCTCCAAAAGGAAACTGCTGGTGCTAACGGCAGATAAAAAGTCTGCCAACCAAGTGATACCATGTTGCAAATGACATCTGAAACTAGCTCAGGCCCGCTCTAACGCGCACGTACACGACTGCCCAGTTGCGCATCATGCACAAGACTCGGAACCTTGTTCTTCATGACCGTCAGAGATACTCTTCGGCTAGTTCGCCATCTCATGTAGTTCATCAGTTCACCTGCAGTTGCAGAGACGTTTATCTAGGCAGGACTAACCGTCGGTGGGCTCAGAAGGTGGTTGAACACTAGCCAAATTGGGTGGAGCAAATGATGACGCAACAAAATGGAGCGCCTCCCAGAATGAGGCGGATTCTGCCATTATCTGTCACGAAGCACCTCGTGATAACTGGGCACAATGTGGACTCCAAGACTGTGTTCAAAGTGCTATTACGTAATCGGAACCGGATAATGTTGGCAACCAGTGAAGCGTTGTTACTTAGGGCCTATCAACCAGTACTATGTGCACAGAAACTTGAGGCAATCAATCAGATTGTCTTGGATTTGATTTTGACGTTTTGATTGGTGCATCAATTTTTTTCCCATGTATATAATTGTGTATGTGTTTCTGCTTGTATTGTGTATGCGACTGAGGAAACAATCGAAATGTTGACATACCGCAATCTGTGTCTTCTTTCCGCTTTGATCAAGTGGACGAAGGGGACCAAATGTTTTACGTTTCTGCAATTAGCAAGGCTGTTGCCCTCAGTTTTCTCATCAGCACAGATATTACCTGACTTCCTAATGTTCATGTGGATTATATGATGCGGTGTAAGGAGGCATGTGCATTGTAGACGTCACTAATGTCGAGAGCGAAATGCGAATTTGGAATGGTGTTCCCAATGTAGCAAAGCGGAACGGGATAATGTTTACATGACAATTGCAGCTCGAAACAGTGGCCTCCAAGGTCACTACTATGACTCGGTTTTAACAGGTAAAGGTACGCGTGACTAGGGACAAACAGAGAGCCGTAGACGATAAATTGATCAACACGGAAAGGTTGAAATCGTCCACTAAATGCTTGAGGGCTCTCAATCTGTGTTTGTACGGCAGCTGGTACATACCGTTGACATGAATGAACCCGCCGTAGTTATAGAGCATTCAAGATAATGCCAGCTGGCTTTTGATGCGGCTACTAACCTTGAAGTACAAATTCTACCTGAGCGCTTGTGTATTCAGAGAGCAGAAGGGAGATCGGTTAGTCGAAGAGTCTGAAAGCTGCACGTAAGGCCTATAGTTTTTGAGCGCACTTGTTTTGATTTCATTTAGGAGTGCTGCAAGCAGTCGCGGATTTCTTTAGTAAGCACACTGTTTCGCGGGAACAGTCGTAAGGACCTTAGTTAATTTGCGATTCCGGAAGATATGGACTAAAAGAGATAGTTCACTGCAGCTGCCAAACTGAACTTCTCCTGATGTATAGAAGGCGGGGCGGTAAACGAGGACCACGAGTCATGTCACTTTGCCTCGCAAGCGTAGGCGACTTCAAGTGGACTCGGACACTACAGTTTCTGATTCCTTAATAGTTTCGCACTGGAGATCCTTGTGGTACCATTATTCCGAACAACTGAAATGAGTAGTGGCGCAATCTGTGCATCTGTTATTTTTCAGTGCAACTATGTTCCTGTGATAACGATGAGGTCCCAAGCGTACAAGGTGTAATGAAACCGCCTCTCGGCTAATTTTTCGTGCAATCCATTGGCACTTGCATACATGCAAGAGAGCTTCTCAGAAGTTAGAATCCGTTGGATATGACGAATGAAGCGACTAAGTGTACACTGTGGCCGAGCTGTGCGCTATATTGGAGCGTCCCCAGGTTGCGGATCGGGGAATGCTTTCCTTGTGGTGGTAACTGCAACTAAGTCTCATCTGTTTTGCAGGCGAGATGAAAAGCAGTCGCGGACAACCAGCGACAGCGTCGCAGAGCTTGGGCAGCTCTGGGCTGGTCACCTGGTTCTCCATTAAATACCACAAGTGCTCGTACGGCGCTGTGTCATTGTCAAGGTGACCGGCTATGGGGTCACTGGCCACTCACTCTTGTAACTGGGGGTGAGTATCTAACGGAGGGCGGATGAACAACCTTGTTGCCCACCGGCTACCATGTGGACTACTACTGATCACAAAGAAGGCGAATGATCCACCAGGATGTCAAGGGTCTTCGTGAATCGCACGGCTGCCTTGCTGGTCAAGATTCTATGACCAACGCTCCGGGTGGGGTCAGTTAAGTCAACCCACTTCCTCGGCCTGGGCAACAGGGAAGCTCAATGTCCGCACAACTCATGGAACTTTGCTTCCATTCCTCGGACTCAGTCTCACATTTTTGTTATTGTTACACATGTGTTGTGGCACTCTGCCAAATGTTTATTGGGCAAGTGTTATATATATATATATATATATACATATATATATATATATATATATATATATATATATATGGTTGGCGGCATCCAGTTTCGAATTTGCCTGTCATTGTGGTCAGCCACAGGACGCCTGCGCCTACAGAGGTACCATGGGCTGCTTGCGCTTCACCACCCACAGCTCCAACCGCACACCGTATCCAGTGTAAACCCGAAGAAATAAGACCGGGAGGCATGTGGATTGGAGCCACGTTTCATCAACGGAGCCGGCCCACACTCCTTCATAGGCAAACACAAGCACGCTGTATTTGGGGAATCAAACGCACACAAGGCGGTGGCTGAACTGTACTCCGCTCCACACTTTGAGCCTAGCACGGCTACAAGGACCGTGCACCCCGTCCCCTCCAGCAACGACAAGCTGTCTCCTGGAGCCAGTATGAACGACGTGGTGGGTAATAGACAGGTAGACACCTTGTCAACATGCACATCATGCACAACCACACCGAGGATATCAATCAACAACCATTCACTTGAAACGACAAGATGAAATAAAATGAATCCAATAATGCTTACAGATACGGTGACATAACTCTTCGCTAAATTAGCATATGAACTAAGTTGGTTAGCAACCAATCCGCGCTAAGTGAAAAATGTCCACAAGTTAGTTAAAAATATTACAAAACGCAACAAAGTTACCGAAGAAAAGCGCAATTAATGTAAGCAATGTGGCCAGTTAAGAGATTATTCAGGTAGGCAGAACAAACCAAATAAAGTGGAATGAACTTTATCCAGCTTAAAAAGACCTAGTTAAAGTGTAAGTTGGTTTAGCCCAACTGCGGTGAAGAAGCATCAAGAATGCAACATCAGCTTCAGCATGGGGCATATAAATATATTATATAAGATATATATATATATATATATAGCGATCATTGTAGGGTTAACAGTTGCTCGTTTGTTGGATCAGTTGCCGGTAAACAGGAAATTCATATTCAGCCTTACCAGCAGAACCAATATGTTACCCGAAGCTATCCGTTTCACTTGGGTAGATAGTTCCATGAATCATCATTTTGAATGGGTTGAGGAACTCTTATGGTGGACGCGGTTCGGCACCATTTTTAACCGCATTTCAGAAGATAGGCTATTGTGGAGCTTACGCTACACATGCAGCTCGTTCGGATCCAATTGTTGAGTTTGCACGGAAGTTCACTATTCCAGCACAGTTTCGGATTTAACGCGAATTAAATATTCTTGCGATCAGCCCATCTATGAGACCACACGTAGAAAGAGCTTCACGGATGCATCTCCACTCTTCCAGAACGTACCTTCGGGCTTTGCAACCACCAATGTTTGATAATTGAGATATGCGGTGAATCAAAATGTTTTTTTACAGTAGCCCCCACTACCTGTTGTCCGGTTCATTTGCATACTATTGGCGTTCACTCTTCAGACCATCTGAGAATGTATGTATGTCCAGTGAGTCAATTTCAAAAACGGCGTAACGTAAGAATAATGGCCACAATATTGTTGGCTGATCTAAGTGGTAGCTGAAGGAATCGGGGCTACCACAGTTCATAGAATTTGTATGTTTATCAATATGCATCGGACTAGTTGGTTTATCCACTACTCCAAATTGTTCCTAGCTGAAGTTCCACTGGTTCCGGTTGCTCAATTATTTGCATTAACGAATTTGTTTTGGATCCAAAAGGGTTGATGCATTTGATAGTTAGAACACCGTAGCTTCGCCTACTCTTCAATGGCATGGGGAGTATATGCTAGGTGTATAAAGTACCTAGCTATTTGTAGTGCAAAATATTCCATCAAAACTCATTTCATCTCTCTTGTTTGTTGCAGCACGTTGCATTCTGTCTAGCAGACCTCCTAGATTTCTTTATTCCGGACGTTCCAGTTAGTCTTGAAGAACATATCCAGCGAGAGCGCTTTCTGGCTAAACAGGCCCTCCTTGATGTCAGTCTTGTAAGTAACTGTTAATGATGCTTCAGGTAGATAGATAATTTTTAAAGTTCAGAGCCTTCTCCTTGATTGTACTTAGTTCTAGTTACAATGTCTAGTCTTTAAAACCTTGCTACAATCCTGAATAACGGACAACAATTTAACATTAGCACTGATCGATTTGCAACATCCTGCCCTGTGGGTATAGGGTAGCAACGCTAACTACTGAAGACTCTATGTTCGCCTACGGTGTCAATTGGTGTAAAATATTTGAAGTTTCTCAACTACTATGTCCTTGCGTTTAACGAACATTTAGCAATGCAGTGTACGGAAACATTCCAATGGGTAGCTATATAGTCATTTTATACGCATCATTTCTGAGTTGATTAGTTTGTGACAATCCCACATAGACCCGTTATATCGCACTATGCAGTTTTGATAGTACTCTGGAAATGATTGACAGTACGTTATATCATGTAACTGACCTCCCTGTTGTGTTAGTTGCGTAGAACGACAAGCTGCTAATCTGGAACACCGTTGCGATGGAGTTGTCTCTTCTGGGAGGGCAAGTGCAGAAGGAACTTCAGTAGCTAAAACAGGCACTCTAACCTGAGATTTTTAAGCTGTTAGCCGGATGTTCTACCCCTAATCCAACGAATCTGGGCGAGCAACGCTTGTCAGGACAGTTAATGACTGACTGGAAGGGTGATTCTGAGCCAGTCATTGTGTGCCTCAAAATGACCAAATAACCTCAGCAGTGCTTTGCTAACCGTTTTCGTCGCAAAAATGGACTAATGTCTTAGTGTTTAACTCCCTCATTATGCTATCGAAAACTGAGCGGTCATCTCTTATTAGTCTACCAAATATGAGGTGACACTAATCACGTATGCTGGCACTCGCTGAAACTCAGCCAAAACACCAATCACAGAGGTAACCCTCTGAAATTGAGTGAACAATATAGCCACCTGGGATGCCGACGGAATTAGTTTTCTCTTCGGTTTTACCAACTCTGGAACTCGCTCTTGAACTTACTTGACTCCTGCCCTACCTTGGAAATTTTCAAAGCACTACTGGATCTTGCACTTGGCCCCCAACACTTCTTTGCATCAGCTGTGCTACTTAGGAATATATTAATTATTCCTTCAAGCCGGATTTATATTTTACATATTCTTGTCTTTACTTTTTTCACGAAGTACATCAACTCTAACTGCCCCCAAGTTGCCTCGTTGTTCGCATTCACTTCGCAACTACATTACTATCATTCAGCTGCGTAGCTGATAGATCAACGCTCAAGCAGACAACACACGGTCCCGTGGGGCTTTTCAAGCAACTACATTTTTCTTGGCATAAATCACTGTCCAGTTGCTTCCTACTGCATTTTTGTGGCCTTTCAAAACGGCCAAGCTTTCTTTTTCCATTTTATTTGCAGGAGCAGCATTTAATATCAAATACAGACGGCAAACGATCAAAATGAACTTGCCCAAACTTTGGAGCTGATTTCATCTGAAATACTTCTGCTCAATGGGCAACAGTCAGCCACTGCAACATTTCACCTGCCTGACTTTCATATTTTCATAACCCACTTCCGATACCATACCGTTGCAGATACTTCATAATTTACGAAACTATATGTGATTTCTGTTTGTTCAGGTTGTTTACGAAACCATTTTCTTTGGATTAACGAAGATGTTTATCTACTAAGTTAACTCAATTCGTCCCATACATTTCTGCCTGGCGGGTGCCATTGACGTACCTTTTCGATAACTATTTCATATATAATATCTTGTTAAACAATGGAAGGGTAGGGTAAAATTCTCTCGTCCGTTCAGATGTGGAATATTTCCAGACTAATAACTGTAGCTAACAAGAAGGTCAAAGACAACTTCTTCGGTCACCATTTAGAATAAACGTATTGTATTAATAGCAGCGCTGATATCGGTAGGTTTAACCAACCCCATTCGTCACATAAGGATTTCTTCAAGTCGATTGGTCTTGTTGAGTCTGCTCAAGAGGTTGTCTTTTGCATCTCTTTTGGGTGCATTTCTAAAATAATAGAATAACATCTTACTATGAGAAAGTAAAGACTCATAGTGTCCAGTGAATGGGTTGAGTGGTAGGAAATGGTTATTTTAGTTATTGAAGTGATACTTGGCTCTGAAGTGGCGAGATAAGTCAGACCTTTCAGTGACATTCCGATTTCAGCAAAGGTAGCATCATCAATGAGGTAAAAGTCGATCTTTCATCTATAACCATTGCTTCAGCAACGATAGACGAGTTAAAATAACTGTACGTTCGACCAACAAAGCCCCTTGATATGCCTCGTCCATGGATTTTCATAGGCTCTGGTGTTTTTAAGCCTTTGACGTTATCATTTTATTAAAGTTAAACAAAGGAAGAGGAATGGTTGTTCGTTAATTCTAACTATACAATGTTAACACAACCAGTACGATTTTCCGAGAGATTAGTCAAATCTGGCAAGAACCCAAATCCGAGTGACGGGAGCCGTGTTGTTCTCCAGGAATCCAAAACAAAGTCTGAACGGCAATCATAAATATTAGCATTAAGAAGACTCATAGTTATTTAAATAGTACATACAGTTTTTTGCCGTTGTTCCCTCACTGACTCGCCCTTGTTCACTGGCCTGTGGCATGTGCTACATCCCATTGCTTCGTGCTCGTTCTCCAGGCTGGTCGATCTATGCCTCACCGAGTGCAGTGACAGTTTTCATCACGGATAGATTGCACGTTGGCGTGTGATTGACCGTCCCCTCTGGACGTCCGACTTGCTGTTTTCCACAGCTGAGCGTCTAGTTAACAAGGACCCATGCGTAGGCCATCCACTCACCTTGAGGCCGTCCAGTCTGTTTTTCCGCTGTCCGAAGGCATGTCCTTTCTTCATTGAACTAGACCGGACGCGTTCCGCGTGATCATTTCTAATGAGTAGCGTCTAGTTGGTCATTCGTCTATTCGGTTGATGCTTCCACGGTTGGCTATCTGCCACACCTCAGCGGTTAGTCAACACGGATTTAGTCGTAAGCCATCTGCTTTCCGTATGGCCGACCAATCTGATTTTCATTTACTTCTGATCAGTCGCGCGTGCTCGGCTTTCGTCTGAGTTGCTTCCGTGCCATCACTATTGCATCGATTCCATTCCCCCCCGGCTTCAGACGATATTACATGCTTTCCTATTTCGTTTTTATGACGGTGTTGCAAGATGTTCTGTACCGCGTTCCACTGTGTGTGCGCCTACTTTCTTGGGTGGTGGTAATGGGTATGCTGTCCCGCTTCTGCTGCTCCTCGCTTTATGAAATCCGCCCATGATGTGTGCTTCTGAGCTGCACCCGATTCAGTTGATTGATGTTGTTCCCCATCCTGACCTTTTGCTCCCTACACCAATGTGGTCTTCAATCACACCCTTCCGCCAACGGTCTTATGATACCGGTATTGCTTATACCCGTATTTTTGCCCTAAAGCTAGAGGTGAGTGGTCTTTTGATCCACGATCATGATCCTTCGGTTCCGTAGTCGATCGTGCAAAGAAGTGGTCGGCGCTAGCTCGGGCTGTAGCAACATTTTAGCAGTCGGTAGCAGTGTTCTTTTTCGGCGACTGAATAATCGTTGCACCGGACTTGCTCCAGTCTAGGTAGAGGGCGTGTTTATTCGCTCCATCAGCATTATGCAGGGATCCTTGTCAATCTGCTTGCCTTTCGTAAGTGCTTTCTTTGCTTCTTTTACTGCCGACTAAGCCATTCCGTTTGATTGGCTAATGCACGGACTGGTGAACCGTTAATGTAAATCGCATTGCTTGCGGAAACGGTGGAACTCTGCGCTAATAACTTGCGGTCCATTGTCGGAAATCACCACTTGGGGTAATTCATGTCATGCGAATTGGCATTGTAACTTGTTAAGCACGGCTTCCGTGATGGTCGTCGTAACAGCATCAATCTCGAAGTAGTCACTGAAATAATCGACCACAACTAAATAATTACCTTCCCCCGTGGGCGAAATTGTCCAGTGCAACCGCTCACCAAGTTACAATATCTCACGGGTACTATGTCGAAGGTGGCGCTTAAATCAAAATGCAAGCAAACTGGACGTCCTAGAATTAACAATGTTGCAAAAATGCCCCTCCGCTCTTCATGATGCTCCACGAGATTTATCGAAACTCTTGTGTGTCGGGTCAAGTTTAACTGCCCGCCGCGTTTGTTATTCGATCTGCAATGGTGAGCAAAATGGTTTGCCTTTGTCCACTTTATGCAGGTTTTGTCCCAAGCTGGACAGATCTCCTTTTGCTTTGGTTGCTTACGATTAAAAAATGGACAGCTGGGCTCCTTCCTCTCAGGCGGCTTGGTTGGTGTTTCTCTGGTCTTCGAAATTACACAAAGTACTGCTGCCGATTACTGTTCTCAAATTTTGGAGTTGTTGGGATGTTCCCATTATGCTAAGGCCGATATCTATACACTGATTTAGGGATAAGTTCCTCTGCCTCAGAGGGTATCGAGTGAGGCCGTCCTTTCCTATGACTACCACGAGGCGGTCACGTGCAGAGCAGTCTCGCATACAAGCATAAAAGTTGCACGTTCGTAACTGCATTCGACAGAAACAGATGTATGCGGTATGTTTGGTTCGCTCGCTCTTTGTAATAGTCGCCGAATCTCTTGATTACCTCCGAGATACACAGCTAAAGGTCAGCCACATCACTAAGATCCAAGGTCTTAAGCACTAGTCTAGTCTCCTCGCCAATAACATGTCTGAACGTAAGCAACTAGTACGACGTCTGACGGGAGTCCAACTAAGTCAGTGTGAAGATATCCATCCACCTCAGCTTCGATATATTCCAGTTGTCCAGTAAAGCGGTTTTCCTTATATGCAGAGCAGTTGGCAGTGGGGTCGATGGCCCTCCTCCAAAAGAGAGTGGGGTTCGGCGCGTCGGCTTCTTCTCTGTCGCCATCTCGTGCTGCCCTCGAGGAAACAGAAATCAAGTCTGGAAGGCGATCAAAATACTAGTAGTAAGAAGATTCGTAGTTATTTAAATAGTGCATACAGTATTTTTCGTTTGTCCGTTCACTGAGTGGCCCCTTTTAACCGGTCAGTGATGTTTGCTACATCACACTGGTTCCTTCTCGTTCTCTAGACTGACCGACCCACACCTACCGAATTCATTAACCGTTGCCATCACGGACAGCCTGCACGATGGCGTCCGAATGGCCGTCCGCCCATTTAGTTGATGATTCCACAATTGGTTGTGTTCTACAACTAAGCGTGTTGTCGACATGGATTCAAGAGTAAACCATCTGCTCGCTGTACGGTCGACCAATTCGTTTTTCAACTGTTTCTCTTCTGGGCTGGGCCGGGTCAGACATGTGTATTCGCTTTTGTCTGATTGACTCCAGGTCCATCAGTACCGCACCGATTCCATTCGCCTCCGGTCTCAGCCACCATTCAGAAGGAGAACAGATATCATTACTCGAAAAGGTTGGTAAATGATATTGCTATCGTTCTCCCTATCTGAACTTCAGGGAAGTGACTTATTTTGCGTAGACGTAGTTGGTAACACCAAGTTGGTTCATCGCAATTGGATTACAAGTCAGAATGTCAACTTTTAATGTGGACAACCATTAGCTGATCGTTTCTCCCTATTGGAGTTTAGCTCTAATACATATTTCCTCGTTCCCCGTCAGGGAATTGAACCCCTGACTGCTAGTGGACTGCAGGCCTTGCCATCATCTTATGCCCCTGAGTCATCGGGAACGATATCCGATCAAGACGAATTGAAATCTAACTACTATACAGACCGACCCACTCCCAATTTCTTCGCTTCACTTTGTTATCCATCAAGTGGCGGTTGGTTGTGCTGGGGTCGAATAACAACCAGACCGTCACATTTACCCGTTTACATTCGCAAACTGTGTAGTCTACACGATATTTACGAGACATTATATAAAAAGTTGACGTCTAGTCAACTTGGAAACATTCAGCCGCTAAGTCCGTACCTTGTAGTTTAGAAATATTTGAAAGTCACCGCTAGCCACACAGTGGTTATTTGAACAGTATCTTGGTTTCAAAATAGCAGTCAGGAATTGTATGGCAAGATTTCGATTAAACATCCATGCGAATTTTGACTGTATTCTCTTTAGCAGTTCAATATACGAGACTCGTTCAAGAAGTTCGTAAATCGATGGTAAAACCAATACGTATACAAATGTCAGTTACATTGTTTTCGACAAAATGCTTGTTTTACTTACATGTACTTCGTCCATCAGTGCTTTAATGAACCAATCCCATTTCTGTGGAACTTCGAATCTTTCTCCTTTATCCAGACTTTTACTACTGCGATGACTTCAGAAGCACGATTAGATTTTCTACTAAGTTTGTGACACTTGAGATAGTAAGACAAAATATGTTTAAATGCTGCATAAGCCCGATGAAGGTACGGCTAACACGCGAGTCCAACCCGCCATAAGGTTTCTTGGTCT